TTGATGCTGCATCTGGCGTTAAAGAGGAATGAGTGGATTTCACTACCTCAATCATGTCATTTCCCATAAGTTTAAAATGTCATCACTTCCAACCGCGGTCCACCGTGGATGCCCTTTTCCGTTCCCCAGTCCTACCAACCATAAAAATACCTTGCAACACCCAGCAAATAGCGCATGCGTGCACTTCTCGACTCTTGATTTAAAGAACCACCTCTTAATGATCCTCAATTCCAAACAGCGCGGTACAAAGTAGATCCGCACAGACATCTCATCTGTGGACCATAACTCCCCCAAACCCTTCATCCCGTCTCGGCTCAGAAGGCTCCTCGTGCCTTTCTACAACGCTTCCCACCAACATTGAACTCCTGAGCAGCAGTTAAAGGGGTTGACAAAGCCGGTCAAATGAAATAGGTGATGGGAGAGGAGAGAACAAGGGAGAAGAGCAGAGAAGAAGAGAAGAGAGGAGAGATCGATTCCGTCACCCAATACCTACCCACACTTGTGATAATCATGATACTTCTCGCGGTTTCACAGAAAAAGCATCGACAGCCAGTCTTCTCAAATCACTCCCATTGACATTTGCGCTGATGACTGTCAATCAAGCAGCACTCGCCTAGAAACGCCTTACACCTGGGAATATTGGAGTGGTGATTCGCGTGGCGCAACCCACCACATATTCTCTCAAACAATTGATAGTCTTCTCTTCTATGGAAAAGCGTTGGGGCTGGCTCCACGAACTACCTAATATTTTAACACTTGCAACGTGAACGATCACGAGAACCTCGATTTTGTGCCCTCATTTGTACTTCACGTTTCAGTTATTGCTTGCTGCATTGCATTACTGTCGAGTGATAGATACATCCCCAATCTAGTTATGCAGTGAGGCGAATCGCCGTAGCCTTCTCAACTCGAAGACGAGCATCAAATATCATGGAACGGGGACTTCTGACCTGTATTACAATGACAATTCGTGCGAATAAGGCCATGTTCTGTGCGTCGTCCGCGTCAGCCACGTAAAGTAACTGTTCACAATTGTGGTGGTGAAAGACGGTGCTCCTCTGATCTCCATAATCCGTGCATATGATGAGCAAGTAGAACTCAGGTCCCATTTACT